CAATGTGTGACCAATAAACTGGTTTTGTGTAACACAGTGTATATAGGTTGCTTTCCAACAAAAGACACAAGTTGACACTGCAACCAGGGCCTGTTGTACAATCCGGTTACAACACAAATATCATTCTATCTTTGTTCCACATTTAGTGAGTAACAAAGATAAGATGATACTTGTATTGATAAGATGACTTGTATCTCTTGTTGGAAAGCAACCGTAGCTGGAAAGGGGTGTATATCAGTTGGACACGGGGCAATTGGACACAGTCCAATCACAAGTCGCTGTTCCAAGGGACCCTACAAATGTCTCTAATCACACGGTGCTGTGATTGGCTGTGTCCAAATGCACCGTGTCCAAGTGCACCGCTCCCCTCATAAACTACTAGATATCGAAGGTTGTCAACATATTCCAAACTTTCATGAATCCTCCTGCGATAATTTCGATCCCAAGCGGTATACCACTGGACACCCATCCATGCCCTGACCGCATTAAACTGTTGCTTAATCTGACGAACGGCGTGCACGCGGTGACTCTGATGACTCCAACGATGTTCTTACAATTCATGCTTATATAATGTATCCTTATAGTGTTCACAGTATATTATAACATATCTAGCAAACACCAAATAATAATTATATAATTTTTACTTGTTGTTTATTGGATAATTTGTTGATAGATATTGAAACAATACAACATTCGATATGCGATGAATATTGATGTAATGTAGTGAACCAGTGATAATTACTTTTACATTACTTTTACAACAAAATGTTATAATGATTAATCCAACAAAAAAAAATTAAAAAATCCAAGAAAATTCAAATTAAACAAATCGAATTACTAAATTTTGAGAAACTTTTAAAAAATATTATTTAAAACAATAGTGTTGTTTCATCAAATGACATGGTTTCCTTGAACGAAATAAAAATTTTATTTTCATTATTTAAAAAAATGATATTTCGTTTAAGAATATAATATTTTAATGAAATAAAAAAAAAACACAAAATTAAACAAGTACGAATATTAAATCTAAAGAAAGTATTTTCTCCGAAAAAACGGTATAAGAAGTATAAAAAATATGCAATAAGACAAATTAATGATTGCCACTAACGAGTGCTATTCTAAGTACTATTCTATAAGTATTATTGATGTAAAACATTACTGAATTTGAAATACAAGTAACAAAAATAACTAGTAAATAAATAAAATATATTATATTCGTAATATTTTTTTAAATATTACTGCAATATTGCTAAAGTAATATTGCAAATTAATGTCACTGCAAAGTCTCTGCAACATTGCACTGCAATATGCAACCTTGCAACGTTGTAGCAATGTTGCTGCAAGCTTCTGTGCTGTATGGGCATTGCTGAGATTCGAGCCTGAGACCTCTCCCAGGTAGCAGACACGTCAAAATGACATCCAAATTTAAGTAAGTTCAGGATAAAAATAACCAAGGAATGATCAAAAATATCGTGAGAATATCGTCAAAATGATAGTCTAATGTCATAGATCGATTACGACATTTTAGACGACTTATACCCATTTCTACCAACTTTGGTTAACTTAACCGGCTAGTTATTCCAACGGAATTGACTAATCGCATCCATCAAGTCTGACTAACGAGAAATGTGATTGATCAATTCCATTG